TAAGAGAAAATGATTTTATTCAAAATGTATTCTGCGCCCAAAAGAACAGGTACATGATATTTATACTAAACCAAGATCATAAGGAAACGACGTCGTAATGAACAAGTGAGACGACGTCGTTGGGAAACCTATCAACTAAAATAAAACCCAGCGCGACTTTACAAGTAAGACGCGATTTATTCTAAGCCAAAACATTCAAGCAGTTTGAACAGAAAAATGATAAAATGTGCCATCTGCTTGTGGATTTCTACAATATGAGGAGAAAGAAAAAAATAAAATAAAACAAAATGAAAATCGAGCAAAAATAAATGAGAGTACTTACGGCCATGGATCATCGCCCATAAGCATCATATCCCCTTCATCGTCGGTGAAAACTAATTCCCATTTGTTTCTAGGCATAAGCTCCCCTTTAATTTCGAACATTTCTTCAAGATCGGTTATAAGCTCATCGTAGCCCTTTAAGGCTGCCAAGTCCACCGCACGGCCAACCGCTACTCCTTGCATTTGTACCTTTTCAAGAACCAATTAAAAAAAATTTACAATTGGTTTATATAACAAAAAGTAACCATATATAGTTTGTATTTTTTCACTTAGTACTATTTTCAATACATTAAAACAATATTTTACAAGAAAGACATCAAAATTTAGCTTGGTTCGACTTATTATCAAATATTCAATTGGTTATATAAGAAAAAGTAACCATATAAAGTTTGTATTTTGTCACTTAGTACAATTTTCAACACATTAAAACAATATTTTTCAAGAAAGACATCAAATATACCTTGGTTCGACTTATTATCAAATATTCAATTGGTTATATAACAAAAAGTAACCATATAAAGTTTGTATTTTGTCACTTAGTACAATTTTCAACACATTAAGACAATATTTTTCAAGAAAGACATCAAATATACCTTGGTTCGAGTTACTATCAAATATTCAATTGATTATATAACAAAAAGTAACCATATAAAGTTTGTATTTTGTCACTTAGTACAATTTTCAACACATTGAAACAATATTTTTCAAGAAAGTCATCAAGTTTACCTTGGTTCGACTTCTGGACGAATGGTCATGTCGACTCTGAACCTCTTTTGTCGTTACGTGTAATTGGCCTTTCGAGTCGTACAAAACACTAGATTTATTCTCCGAATCACCATCTTGTGGCATGTTATCACTCGATA